CTAGTAGTATATTTTTGGTGTAAATTTCATGAAAATTCAAGAGGGTGAAAAATTAGTGAAAAAACAGGTGAATCTCACCTCTTCACCTAAAATATATTTTTGGTGTAAATTTCATGAAAATTCAAGAGGTGAGAAATGAGGTGAAAAAAGGTAAATCTCACCTCTTCACCTAAAATATATTTTTGGTGTAAATTTCATGAAAATTCAAGAGGTGAGAAATGAGGTGAAAAAAACAGGTGAAATCTCACCTCTTCACCTAAAATATTTTTTGTCTGATTTTACGAAGAAGTCTTGACAAAACATTTACGAAGAAGAAGTCTTGACAAAACATTTACGAAGAAGTCTTGACAAAACATTTACGAAGAAGTCTTGACAAAACATGAAAACATATATAATTTGTGAAAAGTGAAACATTATATAATGTTTTCGACCAAGAAGACTAACAATTTTCCGAAATAAAAACTTCATTTATACTAAACATCTTCGGGCTAGAAGGCACGAAGTGCCTGGAAGCCCCACTACCTTTTTTTTTTTTTTTTTTTTTTTTTTTTTGGTAGTGTTTACTAATAGATGAATAGTATATAAATTCTATTAAAATGGATTTGATCCAAAAAATATTATAAAATTTGATCATAAATAAAATCGTTTTAAATTACTTCTTCATTTAAATTATAACAATTATTTTTTGGTTTTATATTTTTTAATCTCTCTCAACAACAACAACGCAAATATTCTGTATCTTGCATATGAGAATCTGACGTTCTGACAACTACATATCTTCTGTCAGAACTTTCTAACTTCATCGGAACAGCATTGTTTGAAACCATAATGAAATTTGCAACATTTTCACAAACTCTTTGGTTTTATATTTTCTTCAACAACTCCAACTTTGTCTGTTAATAAGACTCTTCAAAGCATCTGAGTTTAAAACTTTTGTTGTATCTATACTTTGAAGTTCATTGCAAACTATAAGTTTCATATTCTTATTGAGGAGTTAAACTTGCCACAGATGTTTTCTAAGTTTGTCATATTAGGGTTCGAATAGCCCTCTAACAGTTTGCATAAGATATCTGTAAAGAAAGTGTTCTTACCTGTTCCCTGTTTTCCAATTATAATGAGAGCAGTTTCATTTTTAGCACTTGGATGTTGTAAGATGTTTGCAAACCAACATAAGATATACTCATAGACTCTTTCGTTTCCATTGCATATAATTTCTTTGACATGGTCTAACCAAGCTTCTATAACATTTTCTTTCCATTCTACTTGTTCGTATTTATATCCAGTGAAGATAGAATAGAAGTTTGGAGAAGGTGTATAGAACTTTATACCACGAACTGAAAAATCTTCAAGTTTTGACAATAAGATATCCCAAGCATCTAACATCTTCATGCCAACTTGTACAACTTTTATTTTCTTAAGTTTCTGTTTACATTCTTGTTCTGAAACTATTGTCGCTTTAGGTTTGTTAAAGACAACATCCCATTCTTTCATGACATAACATTCTGGGCGCAGAGTCAACATAAATGACTAAACGTTTCAAATTCTCGACTGCTTTGTTATAGTCTCGAAATGGACACATATTTCTGAATGCTTGAAAAGTCATAAAAATCTGAAACATCTATTCTGTACATTTTTATAAAAATAAAAAAAAATATTTTTTTTATTCTTGAGCTATTTGTTGCATTTGTTGTTCTTGAGCTATTTGTTGTTGAAGTTGTTCTTGTAATACAATACTTTCACCAGTTGCATCTTCCAATTCGAAACTTTTGGGTCATTGACAAATACATAGGACATAAAAGTTTTACAGGAACAAAGTTTGCGTCAACTAAGGTTAAGTTTATGTTTGCTAAAGTGTTTGAGTTTACTAAAGCTGAAAACTCTGCATTCGAATGAACAATAGGCAAACCAGCAGAGAAAGTGTTGTTTATACGCATAAGTATCTTTGGTCATAGTAGTTTCTGTCGACATTCGAATAGCACTTTGAACCTAAGTTTGAAACAATATATAAATAGGTGTACTTAAAGTCAATGGAATAGACATTCCTTGTATGACACCTTTTCCTGTTATAGGAAACTGTTGTTAGTAAAAACCAGATATAAGTTTTGTATTATAGCTCATATTGTTTATAGTAAACTCAGTCGGACATCCAAACATAATGAAACCTGCTCTAGTTGCAGCACATGTTACACTCGTCCTTAAAGTATTAAATAAGTCAACAAAACCTGTTGGTGGTATATCTGAGTAAGTATCTTCAAAGGAGTATTTTTTACCATTCACAACAATAAAATCTTCTGGTGTCAAAAGAGCAAAACAAGCTTTAGTCGTCATTGTGTTTAAAGTTAGTTTACAATATCGTCCTTGAGGACTTTGTAAGTTTGTTGTTATAGAATTATATGACTCAGGGTTTTTAGTCGTAATAGTATAAACCACTATGTCTTCTGCCATTTACTTAGCAAATAAATTTTAATGAAATGTTTGTGTCGTCAAATATTTTTATAACGTCTGGGAAACTATATTTAAGTTCAACGTTTCACCTCCTTTCATAACGTATATCTTGTCAATAACATTATATGAAACACCACAGCAACTAACGTCGGGTTCTATTTCTTTGATGTTTATATCGTCTGCCTCTGTCAAAAGTTTCAATAGTTCTTTCAAAACTTCATGAGGTGCAATGACATATGAGTTCACTTTTACAGGGTTGTGTTCGACCAAGTTTAACATTATACCTAAAGCTTGACAAATCTTCTCCTGAGTTTGAAGTTTGTCTTTCAGTTGTTGGTAGTCGTTTCGAATATCTGCAACAGAACTTAAGTCTCTGCTAACTTCAGGGTATGTTGGTTGTTCTTTTACAGGAACAATTGTTATACCATCTTCGTCTTCGTATGGTTTCCCCACTTCAACATCTCTTTCTTTGACATTGACAATAACACTTTGACTGTTTGTTTGAGTTAGTGAATTTAACTTCACATCTGCCACCGCCATTAAACCTTTTGAAACACTTACGCTTCTATTTTTCGGAAATGACATTTTACTTAGAATAAAAAGATGGACGTATTTGAGTATCTCTTCGAATTGAAGCAGAACAAAGTTTACACACAAACAATACAAATACATTGACAGAATAGTTCTTTACACAAACAATGGAAAATGTTATAGAATAGCAGTCTTTGCTGAACAAAATATTTCATAAAGCAAAGAAAGTTGGTATAACGAACGAATGGTGAAAGTTCTTGAAGCAGACAAAAATATAACTTCAAAAACTTACAGATATTTCTAAGGTAAGTTTATAATACAATATTATGTCAAAACTGGCGTACTGTCAATATTTGACGGAGAGAAGTCAGTTCAAGAACAACTACTGACCTGCTGCCAAAATCTGCTCGATGGAAGCTTTCGTTATGCCAATCTGAGGAGCCCCAGCAGGTTTCATCGAACGAATCTTCAAAAGAGCATCTTCCGTGAAAAGTGCTATTGGTTTTGTAAACTTCTTTGCTTTCAATTCATCTGGACCGTCTCTGTCACCAGTATATTGTATTTGAACTGTACCAACAGTTGAAATACCACCCATAAAGTCTTCTGAGTCAGCAAATGGAATGCCAAGCCAAAAGTTTGAACGGTCTCCATTTGTATATTGAGTTTTTTGACTTCCTGTATGGGTCCATACTTTCACATATGGCATAATAGAACTTGCATTTCAGGGTTAATGGTTGTTGTGAAGTTGTTGTTAAAGTTCATAGCATCTAATGTCAAGTTGTATGACCTCATATTCCTCAACTGTAGAATATTCTTCTCTTGGATAATATTTGCCATCTATGTTTATATGATATTTAATACCAGGGTTGTAGAAACAAGAATAGTCATTTATAGTTCGTCTGAACAGTACAAACATAGTATCTGCGTGTTTCATTGCAGTTGTTAAAGCAATATCTGTTCTTGCACCTGCGGTTCCTGGATTTTGGTTTCCAACTTCACCTGCAAAGTCTTTGACAGATATTTGGTGTATAGGGAACATAAGTGGAACTGCAATATATTTGGCAGCTAAAGCATTTGAAATATCTGGGTCCAACATATAGACTGCAAGTCTGCTTTCTATTCTCTTGCATTCAAACTGTTCGCATGTAAACCTAACTGGGTCCCAAGCAGTTCCAGCAGCATTGAAATAATACTTTACTTCAGTGTTGAGGTTTGAGAAACCAAAGTCTAAGTCAACTTTGTCTTTGCAAAATTCGGCGAATGACGTTTGATTTGCTCCCTTTACGTCTGTAAGAGTGAATGGGTCTTGTGTTGGTGCAATGACTAAGTTATTTTTGCTTGGAGTAAGTTCAATAGAAATTTTTCCTGCCCAGTTTGGCAAGTATCTTAAAAACCTGAAGATGAGGAAAGATGACAAAGGAACTCTAAGTTTCAGTTTTACTTTAGTGACAGCATTTCCATCTGAACCAGAAAGGTTAACATAAACTCCTGGAACGTTAGGGTCAAGTCTTCTATTTTCTCAATAGTTGCATACTGGTCTGTTTGTTCTCTAGCTTGTGGTTGTACTGAGTTTCTCAAAGCGAACCATTCATAGTTTGCCCATGTTACTGTTTGAACTAAGTCAGAGTTAGAATATATCTTATATCCCATAAAAACTTCTGGAGCATATTGGTATCCGACATAGAAAATACCATTGCAACCTTTCTTACCTCTCAAGTCAGCAGAAGGTTTTATTTCAATGTCTTGTTCCACGTATAAGAATGAGTTGTCAATAGAAATTATATGAAACCTGTCGCAAGCAATATCTACTGTTGTTGAAGAACCTTCTCCAAACTCACCTACGTTTCCGTAAGAAACAGCAGTTGTATATTCGTAAGTTCCAGGAACTATTTCTGACCTTCTAATGGCATTGTCGCATTCGTTATACCATTCGGAAACATTTCCATTCATGGCATCCAAAACTGTTGGCGTTATATTCTGAGGCGCGTACATTTCATATGGGTAAAAATATAGAATAGTTGGATTTATGTGTCATAATAGAACCCACGTGGACCAAGCTTTACTTTCTTCCTGACTGAGTTTTTAACTCTTCTTTTTCCTTCATTGCCACTACTTTCACTTTGTTCTTCACTACTTTCACTTTGTTCTACTCTTCTCTTCTTCTTTGGTGTCGCTTTTGGTAACTTGCCCTCTGCTTCAAGTTGTTGCATCTTTGCCTCATGTTCACCTAGTATGTTGTAAATTTCCCATGTCCTTTTTGCCTTTGGGCTCTGGTCGCCCATCTCAGGTAACCTATATCCTAGAAAGATTTTGTCATAGTTTGTATTTGAGTCTTCGCGTATTGTTTGCATGACTCTTTCCTGAGTTTCCGGTTCAAGCTCTTCAAACAGAGCTTGTCCATATGGAATAAGCTCGTTTCCAAATATATGTTTTTGTAGCCATTCTGGTTTTCTTTCCATGTTACCAACAATATCTTTTGTGAATGGGAAAGCTTTTACCCAACGTTTCAGTCTTGCGTCATTTATTTCTGTAGTTGGTTTTATTTTGTCAAGGAACATGTTTTTCAATACTAACATTTCATTTGGTACTGTCCATTTGAGTTTTCTTAAATATTCATCCTTCTCGGTTCATTGTCTGCAAAGTAAGTTTTTATGACATTGTAAACTTTCGTTTGCAAGGTCATGTACAATAGGTTCTCTTCCTTCTCTATCCCTAACTTTCTTTCTAAACTCTTCACCAAATATACCATCTTTATGGTTCTGTGTAGTTCTTTGAGATAAATGTTCTAGAACGTCAGGTGTTATATTTCCATCAGCCATGTTCATTTCATACTGGTTCAAATATCTGCATCTTTCATATCTTTCAATGGCATTAAAGCCGCGCTGAAAATACCAGCTAAATCTGGTTCATTATCATTTCCATTGCGTCTACAACATCTTGGAATTGTGGTTGTAAGTTTATGAACCACCTATCCGGGTTAGCTTTATGACCCCATCTCATTGTAGTTCCATAGTCTGCAGAAACAAAAGTAGGTTTGTTTCCATATTGGCTAGGTTCTGAATGAACTTTAAACAATGTTTCATTTTATATGTTTTGTTGAAATTTAACCTTTTATTTTCACCGAGTTCATCCAAAGATTGAACGTTATATGCTCGTAAGTAAAAAGGGTTGTTGTATTTGTGTAATTTTCTTTCAGTTCTTCCATTCTATGCTGAATATTTTCATCTGATGTTGGAGTCTTTTGTATGTCGGCAAACATTTTTCGATATTCTTCTACCATGTCAGCCGAATTTTTCTTAGACTCTTGGAAAGATTCCATATTCACCTCATACTCTTGTTGAGGGTCAAGATTTTTCGGCTGTTCCAAATCTTCATCTAGTTCTGTGAAGTTAGTTTCCAAAGGAGGGACTTGTTCGTTTCCTTCAGGCTCTTCTAGCTGTTGTTGCTGAACTATTTCTTCCATGGCTGGTTGTATCTGAACTTCTTCCTGTGGAGTTTCTTGTACTCATCTGCTGGCATTTCATATATTCCGAGACCGTTTTTAACAAGTTCCCTATCTAAGTCATCCGGACTCATAAACCTTTCTTCTTTCGTTCCGTCTCTATTTTTTACGCGTTTCATGAAGAGAGTTGTATTGTCATTTAGCTCTGACACCAAATATCTCGGAGTAAATTCAGTCATGTCATTTGGATGATATGCTATTAAATCATATCCCTTAGCGAGCTTGTATTTTCCAGGTTTGAAATTATATCCCATTTGGTGCTGAGCCATAAAGCTAAATAGGTTCGGGTCAGTATTTCCTTCCTTGAACTTTCTAATAGCTTCTTTATATCTGTCACTAAAGTCAAGAGTATCTGGGTAACCATAGTCTTCTTTAAGCATTTTTAAGAAATCTTGGTTTCCTTGTTCTCTACTTCTTTTATGTCCTTGCTCTGTTTGTGGTTGTTGTGGTGCAGTGTTTTGAACTGTTGGTTTTGGTTGTTGTTGTGGTGCATGCCTGTGTCTGTGTCCATGTGACGATGTAAATGTTTTAGGTAGTCCTGGTGCAGGTGCTTCTCTTGGAGGGTTTGGTGGTATATAAGTTCCACCAGCTGGCACATATGTTCCATCTGCAGCATAGTGTCCTACCTGACTTTTCGTTTTTAAGAAAGCATTTACTAGGTCTGTTTTGGTCTGTTGTAACTCTTTTTCTTGACTTTCCACAACAGTTGCTCTAACGGCGTCATAGGCACTTTGAACTGCCTGTCTCGTTGCTGCATCTGTTATTTTCGTTATATTTTGTGCTACTTCTTTTAACTCTTTGTCGAAACCTTCAGACTTCAGTTTCTTTCCAGATGAGAAGTCGTTCACTTGTTTCACCTTACTATGAAGAGCTTCGAAGGCGTTCTTAAAGTCAGCATTTGTTAAAGCTTCATTTGAACTGTCTTCATCCGCTTGTATTTTTGTCCTTATTGACCCTATAAGCTGGGCTGCTTTAGCGTTGGCTTGGGCATCTAACCAGTCATTGTTAGCTTTTATATATTCTGCGCTTTTCATTGCCTTTTGCATGGCTGCGTCGTTATTTTTACTTTCTTGTGCTAAGTTTTCATACTGTACGTTTTGGTTTTGCAACTGTAAAAGTTTTTCTGCCTTTACATTTGCTTCAACTTCTTTTTTATACTCATCGCTATCCATATATGTCTTCAGGGCTTTTTGTTTTATTCTTTCATCTTTCAGTACTTTATATTGAGTAGTATGTTTTTTCAAATTTATAACATCTTGTTCCATTTTTGCTACTTCTGCTGCTTTTTCTGACACTTTTTTCGCATATTCCTCTGTACTTAGTTCTTTCAGTTGTTCTTCTTTCTTCTTTTTCTCTACGTTTAACTCATTGAGTTTCTTTGTGTGTCTGTCATATTCTAGTTTCTTTTCGTTTTCACTTATTTGCTTCTGTATGTTTGTTTTGACTTTTTGACATCTGATATTTGATTTTTGAGTGAACTCAAATTCATTTGACTTTGAGGGTTATAGGCTGTTCCGTCTGCAGCTCCACCATAGCCTGCCATTTTCGCTAAAAGTGCCGCTCTTAAACCTCCACTCTGTGCACCAAAAACTCGGTTTAAGAGCATAGGGTTGCTTGACATTTGTTGCAACATAGTGGGGTCATTCAGCATTTGTTGTTGCAACTGTTGTTGTGGTGTCAGTTTTACTATTGGATGTTTCAATGCTCTCTTCCTCTTACGTATATTCTTACGTAGCTTACGTGGCATTTTAAGTGAAGTTAAAAAGCGGTTTTTGACAGATGTTTATATGACACTTTTTGTTCAGCACAAAAAAACTACTCGGTCAAAGTGTTGTCAGTTTTGTAAAATAACCATCCTATCTCATTCTATAAGGGGGAAAGTCTTCTCAAAGTATACTTCCTTGGAACGCCCGTAACTTTTCCTGTAGCGACGATAGACCCTTACTTGTCCGGACAAAGTTATACTATTTTGAGTGCTCTACAAAAAAAGTCAACGGCGACGACTCTCAAAAATTTTTTATGGGCTAGAGGGCACGAAGTGCCTGGAGGCCCATCCCAAGAAAAAAAAAAACTTCAGGGCTAGAGGGCGCAACGCGCCTGGAGGCCCCACTACCCTTTTTTTTTCTTTTTTTTTTTTTCAATGAATTAATTGATATTTCAAATATAATCATTGAAAATTATGATTCAATAGTATTCAAAAATGGGAACAGGACAAATTTGCCACACGGCACTTTTTTTAAAAAAAATTAATGGAGCGGAGCGATACTCTGCTGG